AGGACCGCAAACCATTTAAAATAAAGCTTCATTAGGTTTTTGTGAGCACGTTACGCCGATTTTGTGGCATGTCGATCAGGCAGTGAGAGTTTGGTTAGCAGTATATGAGTGTTCCTCATCACAATATTGTTCCGAGTTGGTTGGGCTGGTCTGGCTTCAGGGTGCAAAAGTTTTTGAAGCAACGCCATCTGGTTCTGCGGTTTAAAATCAAAATAATTCAAGTACTTCTCTCTCGGTGTACCACCCAACAGCTTTTTACGTCCACAATGACGATACCTTGAGCTAGCTCCAGCTGTTCCCAATATGTACACAACACCTTTTAACACCTGCAGTGGTACAGTGCGTACCAGTGCAGTTTTCATCTGCATCACCGGTCAGATGACACGCATTACTACAGCTTCACCGCCCTCGGACGTGCCTGGCGCGGAGTCCGGCGTGCAGCTTCTCCGCCCTCGGACGTGCCTACTGTAGAGTCCCGCACTCCAGGGCCTCTCCATGTGCGGATTATATTAATACGAAAATGAGCACTGAAAAAGCTGATGAATGGAAGATAGCTGCCTTCACCAATCTTATCAGCTATAGACGACACAAATCCGATTGCTGCCAGTTCTGCCCCATGGTGCTCTACGAATCCTTCTCAAAGTCACGCACATCTACAGCGCGTGTTGCTCTGTTTATTACGCAGCACGCGCGCTTACAATCACAGCGCGTCGATTGCAAAGCGCGCGGCAGTCGATGCAACTAAATGGTGTTGCGGAGCCATGTGTACACATCGCGATGGACGAGTCGATGGGCGATGGTACTATTCGAATTCCCTGCGGACGGCGTGCTGTGACCACTCTCCGGCTTTCTTGAACATTCTCGGCTGTACTCTTCCTGTCTGTATGCCGGTCATTGTGGCGTTATGATGCACTCAGCTGTTTAGGCTATGAGGCGTCGCCTGCCTCTCATCTTAATCTCTGATCTAATCTATCTTAGCCTCTATCATCTTAATCCTTAATCATCTAAGCCTCTGAGCTGTTGAGGCTATGTGGCGTCACTTGCCTCTCACCTTGGCAGGAAGGGCGAGCACCGAACCCGTGCCCCGACACGTTAACCGCCGCACTACCGGCGTACGTGCCTTTGATTACATATCTTTATAAACGTTGATTTTCCAATCAAGGCGTCACAATTGTAACTAGAGATAATTATCTACAAAATCCTAAGCTAATGTGGCTGATTTGGTGTCAAGCCAGATAAGTGCGAGCCTATATATTAATTTATCTAAATCTATGGCGATTCGGGTTAAGGCAATACATACTCAAAACATGAGACCCATGCTTATGGCTGCCAGAATTATCTCAAGTTTTTTTGTAGCTGTCCTGGCAAGGCGACGCACAAAAATCTACGCCATAGCCAAATGTACCAACTACGACAGAAGGTCTTGACAGCCTTGAGAACCTGGCTTAAAGTGTAGTTTGTATAATCGAAAGTACACAAGTTGTTAAGTGCATATATCTCCCATATTTGGTTTTGTATCCTTTATATCTTTATTAATCCCTATATATCTCTATGTCTTCATTTTCCTGCCTTTTTCTCCAAGGAATAGTGATCTTACTGCTGTCAAAAGGAAAGAAGTCATAAATACTTGGCGAAGATTGTACTTTAGCTTTAAGAAACTGGCTTCTGACTCATTCTTAGCGCCAAGACCACTTTCTGCTTTAGGTGGCCTCAGCTGTTGCCAAAGCGAGCCGCATGTTAGGACTATTTTTAGAAGGATGCGGGAGTATCTAGTTTAAAGCAATGTTCCCTGGACCACAAATTCACAGCATCCGCGCACAACGTTCACTCCCGATCAGGCCTGAAGTGCGGATGAACTGTTGTTGGGGTGGGATCAGCACCAGCCAATTCGAAATAGCTTGAGTGCGTTATTTACAATTTTGTAATGTGTCTGGTGGTCATCGGGCACCCCTACTGCGATGCATTTATTGTTTTACTCAAAGTTATTTCCGTGCTGGCTTGCGCGAAACCTACTGCACCCTGCCGGTCCCCTATATAGAGCATATCCGGTGGTGAATACATACAGTGGCCATGCCTAAGCATGCTAGATCTGGGCTCACAATCTCCGTTTTTCGAGCTGTGCTCAGTTCTTCATGGGCAAAGTATGTACCTGAAGCTGTAACCCATGACATGACAAGTGCCGACACCACACCTGAGCGACCGTACTCCAAGGCAAAGGAGCTGTTGTGACACACTTACCTGTGACGTCATAGGCTGTGACTTGTGGATAGCGTCTGGCAATAGGGAGCCCAACCATAGCGTACGTCACGAAACCACGCGTAGACAAGGGTTGCCCGGCAGGCTGTAGGCGGCGCGTGCGGCGCGTGGCGCGGTCCGCGTGTGCCGCCAGGACCGCTCCGTGACGCCATCGGCGGGACGCACCGGGGCCGGGCGGGAGCGGGACGCGCCGGAACCGGGCTGGACGGGACGCTGCAGGGCCATGCGGGAGCGGGACGCGCCGGAACGTTTCTGGACGGGACGCGGCAGGGCCATGCGGGAGCGGGGCGCGCCGAGACCTTTCTGGACGGGACGCGGCGGGGCCGGGCAGGAGCGGGACGCACTGGGACCGGGCGGGGGCTGGACGCGGCAGGGCCATGCGGGAGCGGGACGCGCCGGGACCGGGCTGGACGGGACGCGGCAGTGCCGTGCGGGAGTGGGACGTGCCAGGACCGGGCGGGGGCTGGACGCGGCAGGGCCGGGCGGGGGCGGGACGCGGCAGGGCCGGGCGGGAGCGGGACACACCGGGACCGGGCGGGAGCGAGACGCACCGGGATCGGGCGGGAACGGGACGTGGCAGGACCGGGCGGGAGCGAGACGCACCGGGATCGGGCGGGAACGGGACGCGGCAGGGCCGGGCGGGAGCGGGACACACCGGGACCGGGCGGGAGCGGGACACACCGGGACCGGGCGGGAGCGGGACGTGGCAGGACCGGGCGGGAGCGAGACGCACCGGGATCGGGCGGGAACGGGACGCGGCAGGGCCGGGCGGGAGCGGGACGCGCCGGGGCCGGGCGGGAGCTGGCCGCTTGAGAAAGTCGTCGGGGTTCCAGGCGGAATGGAAATGCCTCGCAGACCGTGTAATACCTAGCCCATGAATTGGGGAATCGGGCCACGGGAGAGCCGGTGGCGTGTTGGGGTCAGACCACCGCCACCAAAACACCACTTCGTGACACTGATTGACAGCGGGCTGCGCGGATTGGACTGGTGCCTGCGCTGGTGGGGCCGCTGCTGGGTAAAACAGTGCCGCTTGGATGCCGTTCCCATGAGGCAGCGGTGCAGGGGCTGAGCGGCCGACTGGGCCCAGTCGGAGCGGGCCACGTGTTCCCGTCGACTGGGCCCAGTCGGAGCGGGCCACGTGTTCCCGTCGACTGGGCCCAGTCGGAGCGGGCCGTATGTACCAGCCGACTGGGCCCAGCCGCAGCGGGCCGTATGCACCAGCCGACTGGGCCCAGCCGGAGCGGGCCGTATGTGCCAGCCGACTGGGCCCAGCCGGAGCGGACCGCGTGCACCGGCCGACTGGGCCCAGCCGGAACGGGCCGCGTGTACCCGCCGAGTGGGTCCAGCGAGAGCGGGCCGTATGTACCAGCCGACTGGGCCCAGTCGGAGCGGGCCGTATGTACCAGCCGACTGGGCCCAGCCGCAGCGGGCCGTATGTACCAGCCGACTGGGCCCAGCCGGAGCGGACCGCGTGTACTAGCCGACTGGGCCCAGCCGCAGCGGGCCGTATGTACCAGTCGACTGGGCCCAGCCGGAGCGGGCCGCGTGTACCGGCCGACTGGGCCCAGCGGGAGCGGGACGTATGTACCCGCCGACTGGGTACAGCGGGAGCGGGACGTATGTACCAGCCGACTGGGCACAGCGGGAGCGGGACGTATGTACCCGCCGACTGGGCACAGCGGGAGCGGGACGTATGTACCAGCCGACTCCATTTGTCGGCGAACAGGTTTGCGTTGCTGCTGTACTGCAGCGACGACTGGGGTCTAAAAAACAAGCCTGGAGTTTCAAAAATTTTGGTAGCCCGCATGGGATGACTAAGACTCGTACTCTTTCCCTGCGCATTGTCTGACCCAAACGCAGGGCCTTTTATCTTCCTCGTCCACAACTAGCGACATAAGGCACGACGGGTGAAATATGCTGCCTGTCATTCCAACTCTCGCCCTGATTCGCCTCTTTTCCGAACCCAACCTGACAGGGGGTCGATGCCTTGACCTTGCTCAATGCCTTTTCTTAACTAAGAAAACAGAGTCTCGTGGGATAATAAACAGTGTTTCAACGAGGTCTCCCCATTGGTAACAGTTTTATGTTTTGCCCAGTTATTAATGCATTTAAGCCGGTTCAAAAGTCACTTTTCGTGACAACCAAATTATTTCATCTTTACCTGTGCATGTTTACAACATGGCCTCACCTATCATCATAAACTTACACAGACGTCTTCCATGTTTAGCTTTGCTTGAAACACTTCTAGATGTTATGTTAGCTTGAGGTAACAAGAGGTAAACGTTAGCTTGAAACATTTCTAGATGCGTTTCTGTGTGTTTTAGCATATATGCATATATCCATATATTTATACATAATGTACGTGTCAGCTGATATGACGGTGTCGCTCCCTCCGCGCGCTACCGGCGAATCGGCGCCCGCCACCCGCGTCGTGGACCACCGTGCAATGTTCTTAAAAAGGCTGCTTCTCAGGAACTGGAATAGCTAGACACACGTTATTGAGTCAATGAACGCCCGATGGATGCTCAAGAGGCTCCTGCAAATGTCAGCGCAATTACACGACGTACGCCGGGGAGATTTCCTCAGAAAACCTTAGGGAAGGGAGGGGCTCGGTTCCGCTTCCTTTCAGGGCGAGCGTTGAACAACAATAATAAGAAAGCTGCTGCTAAACTTTGGTGTCGTGACGAATTTGCCTGATGTGGTAGGGGGCGGGTCGCCGCCAACGTACTGCCATCTGCCGACAGCACGGTGAGACTGCACTTCACGTGGCGGCCGGCCTGGGTCAGCTGGAGGTGGTGCGGGTGCTGCGCGCCAAAGGAGCCAACTTAAACCAGACGGACGGCAACGGTGACAACTCGGCCTTCTGGGCGGCCCGGCATAGCCACTCGGCCGTGCTCAATTACCTCATCCGGGAGGGCGTGCACGTCAACAACAGGAACAAGGTATGTGTGTGTGTGTGTGTGTGTGTGTGTGTGTGTGTGTGTGTGTGTGTGTGTGTGTGTGTGTGTGTGTGTGTGTGTGTGTGTGTGTATGCGTGCGTGCGTGCGTGCGTGCGTGCGTGCGTGCGTGCGTGCGTGCGTGTGTGTGTGTGTGTGTGTGTGTGTGTGTGTGTGTGTGTGTGTGTGTGTGTGTGTGTGTGTGTGTGTGTGTGTGTGTGTGTGTGTGTCATTGGGGCTTTACGACGCACTCAGCTGCTGAGGCGATATGGTGTCGCCTGTCTCTCACCCTGGCAGGAAGGGCGGGCACCGCGGGGAATCGAATCCCTGACCTGTGGTTTCCCAGACGCGTAGTGGTTAATGTAGACGCGTTAACCACTTCACTACCGGCACCCGACAACGCTCCGTGGTAAGGTGGGTTCGTCACGGGTCCCTCACCGCGTTAACCACGACACTACCGGCACCCGACAACACTCTGGAATAAGGTGGGTTCGTCACGGGTCCCTCACAGGCAGCGTACTGAGGCGAGGTGCACACGTTACGAGTCTGTCACGGACAGAATACTGCGGTGAGGTCTGCACGTCACAAGAGTGGATGGTAGAATCAGGTCGCTGATGATGACTATGTTTACCATATCTGCTCGCCTCGATCAATGCTAGCCGCTGTAGAGTGCCGTCCAGCAGCGGCCAAATGGTTGTAGTGCTGGCGTGTTGACCAGTATTCCTTGGAACGTGCCTATCAAACCTGAAATATGCGCTCAGTTCCCTGTGCCTTTTTATGGCATTACTTTCATTCTCCATGTTTCTTTGGGGTCCTTGTTTCCATTCGCGCTTGCGAGAGACTCTTATTAAATGGTAAGTGATTCCCAGCGCCTAACGGATACTGGGGCCCTAGAAAAATGCTGCAAGTGAATCTTTTTTCTTTTATCAGAGCAGATACTTCGTGAGGTATGGCCTATGTGCTAACCTCATATTAGTGTTGTATGCCGTCAGTATGGGAGCAGCTTACGTACACGATCGCAGCTGAACGCGACACCGACCCTTGTAACACGACTGGCTGCCGTCATGTCGGCTCTTGACTGTCGGAGACGCACGCACTGTCGGTGCGTGAAGCTCAGCAAGCTCTGGCCGGGAGCAATTCTGGGGAAGTTCGCCACTCTTTTAGAGTCATGGTGTTCGGCGGACACCAGTGGAAATGTCTGACGCGGTGCTGACGTCAAGGGAGCGATCGACCTTTTCGCTTCAGGGAATTTTGTCGCAATACTGCGTTTTGAATTGATATAATCCTCGTCACTATAGTACCCTCGGGTGCCACAGAAAAACATCCACATACGGTAAGACTACCATTTACATCGGTCAAGCGTAAAAATTTAACTTCGATGAGGCCGTCAGTTGACAGATGATCCCTGAGGCGCTACTTTATGGTAAGGTTACATGACAGATGGTGTAGGCATGCTAACACCAGTTTCTAAGGGGGCCGATGCATGTCACAAAATCATTACCAAGCCATGGTGTCTAATCCAACATTGGTATGTGCTTATGTTACATTGCAATCCTGTTTGCATGATCCGAAGAGGATTATGGAAATCCTTTGAACCAGAGTTTGAAACAGATCGACCTAAGGCTTAATTCACATTGCTGCTGCAACATACAGGCATCAATTGTCACCACAACAACTTAGAGTATATTTGAATGTGGCCATTGTCAAGCTCCTTTGCATGATGTTATGCATAATTTTTTGACGGCTGCATGTGAAATCAAGATCTATGACCTCGGACTTAGATATGCCAGCATAATTAATTAAGTGAAGGATATTACGGCTTTCCGAATCTCTGCTAGTTTATGCCGACCTTGTCTGGAAGAAGCTAGTAAAAGCCAGAATATGGCAAAAACTAGTTTCAGTTGTCGAAATGCCAACCATGGCCAGGGCACGTCACCCACCGCCGGTGAACCGTGGTGGCGACTGTCAATGGCAGCGTCCAGTCAGTTTTTTTTCGGTCCCCTGAAGCACAACGGGATGTGCAATGCTTGCACGGGAGAAGTACAAAAGGTGAAAAACCAGCGTATGTAGTTGGTGCTAGTTGTTTACGTCATGCTTAGTGTAAAGGTGTGGCGGAATGAGTCTGAATCCTTTTTCAAAAGTTTGACATTTTCGGCATGTTTTGCTTCAAAGAAAAGAAATGGTGCTACCACTGGCACACGACTGCTTCGTCGCCGTTTTTACCTTAACGATTTGCATGTTTTTGTTCCCTAGTTTTATCTTATCTGAAAGCTTATCTATACCGTAGTTATTGCTTTAAACGATGCAATTTCAGTAACCCCAAAAATACGACCGGCTGTCGTTTCAAGCAGGCAGTTTTACAATAACCGAAGTTTCTTTCTCTATTGCTGCAGCTTCACCTTTTCACCACTGCCTTTTGTTTCCACATTGCTAAATTGCTCACATTTCACGTTGCTGGTTGTTGGTGCTAAAGACGGCAGGGCCGCGGAAACTATGTTAGGGGATGGGCACAAAGTTTGAATTGCCGGATTGGACCCTCTAAGATTAGATAGTGAGCCGTTCACAAGTAAAAACGGGCACTTTCCACTTAATCATGTGCTTTCTACAGGTCAGAATAATGTCCATGCGGGTTTGAATGGGCCCTTTACAGGACAAAATAAGGCCTCCACAGTCAATGATGAGCCCTCTACAGGTTGGAATGGGCCATTTGTAGACTAGAATGGGCATCTACAGGCAAAAATGGGCTCTCTACAGGCAATAATGGGCCCTCTATACGCCAGCATCGCCTCTCCACAGCTAATAATGGCTCCTCTACAAGCCAGAATGGGCACTCTCCAGGCAATAAATAGACCCCTGAACATGCCAAAATGGACCAATCAGTAGTTGGCCCTCTATAGGTCAGAATGGGTGTCTTCAAAGACCAGACTAAGTCGGTACAAAATCGGTAGTTGGCCCCCTATAGGTCAGAATGGGTGCCTCCACAGACCAGACCAAGTCGGTACAAAGTCGGCAGTTAGCCCTCTATAGGTCGGAATAGGTGTCTTCACAGGCCAGAATGGGCCCTTAACAGGCTAAAATTTGACCTAATACAGTCAATACTTTGACTCTCTACAGGCTAGAGTAGGTCCTCTACAGGCCAGAATGGCTAATGCTGCGTTCAACGATGAGCCCTCTACAGCTCATAACGGGCCTTCTCCAGGTCATAATGGGCCCTCTACAGGTCAGAATGGGCCTTCTACACGCCCAGCAGTGCCCTCCTCTGATCAGAATGACCCTAAATTGGCCAGAATGAGCCCTCGGCAGATCAGAATGTACTTGTACCGGCTTACTTAATCCCTTGAGAGTTTAGAATGGGCCCTCAATATACTTGCATAAGCTCTCCACAGGTCCTCCACGCTGGGTGGAGCTGCTCCTACTGCTTTCCAACCCCTGCGCCCCAAAAAGGCGGTATTGCCTTAGAACGCTTTTGCAGTACATTTTGTCCTGATCCCACAGACATCTGCCCTCTTTATCACCATATCAGATCCGCCCGGTGTTGCAGTTTGTACGCAGTACGTGACACTTACGTCTTGTCCAAATGATGTGTCGGGACTAAGCTAGTAATCAGCTTTGATGTGAAACCTATGGCGTGTGAGATGGAGAGGAAGTAGAAGCAGCTATGAAACGGGCAGGCCTGTGTGGCATGGAAATGAGGAGTGAGACGTTAAAGTGCCATCAGATATCCAAATAATGCGGACTCCTTCCACTTTCTCCTGCGTCACTTTACACCACATGGTCCTTTGTTTCCCAAATACCGCCATCGATGTCCGGATTTCTTAAAAAGGACGACGAATGTGCAACAGGCTGGCTGTGGAAGACTTGAGGGTACGAAACTAGGCAAAGTCCTGCCAGATCGCTCGTGGAGTTCCAAAGACCTGGTCGTGGCAGGTTCCCTGCCTGCTCTTCGGGGAGGTGCTCGCAGAGAATATGTAAAAAAGATAAAAGTATTCTCGCCAGGTGCCGCTGAGTCCCTGAGAATCGTCAGTCCCTGGCAGTCGTTGCCAGGGTACTAACCTTCTCGATGTTTTACCCCAGACCATGTGGTCGGTAAAACGTTTCTGAAGCGGTTTGTGCTGTGAATTTTTGTGCTGTATCCATGCCGGCGTGCAGGTAAATACTGTAAAAGGCTCTAACGTAGGCGACGTACGCTCGCGCAGAGAAGAGTAATCGGCTGACTTTCAACTTGGCGATGCCACTCACGATTTTGTGCGCGAACTTGGCACCACAGGTCATTCGAAGCATGGCAGTCCGGAGGTGAACCCGATGCTCAAATGCTTAGGGCGTTTCGACCTCGAATTACGCCTGGATTTATGCTTTGCCTGAAAAGCAAGCCCCGCGACCGAGCACCAATCAGCCTACGGAATGGTGACTGCCGAAGCCCTTAAGCCAGCCTGGCTCGGCGTTTCCTGAATGGGGCCAGCCAAGCCCCGACTGCTACTGCCGAATTGGAGCTTCGGGATTTCGCGGGTCCGAGCCCCGACTGCTGCCGCCGAATTGGAGCTGCGGGATTTCGCGGGTTCAGATGACCCAATGGTGTAGCGGTTGTGGACAATGGCAATGGCTGATTCGGTTGCGGACAGAGCTCTTTCGGCCAGCAATGACCGTTTTGGAGCTAGGAGAATAAGGCGAGGGGTGAGTGGTGCCGGACAATGTTCCGGCCATCGTGGGGGCTAGCCTCTACCGATCCTTACCCGCACTGGGTCTCATCTTCAGAGCACAGGGCCTCATCTCCAGGCTTGGTGCTGTCGCTTGGGCACCAGCACAAACCCCGAAACTGGGCAGCTTTGAAGCCAGCTCATGGTTGACGGCCATAGAGTACCCCTTTGAGAAGGCGCGCTGTCAAGAGTAAGTGTGAAAAGATGAGCTAGGAAAGCGCGGGATACAACAATGCTGGTGATGTGCGATGGGTGGGTAGGCGGCGGTGCTGGCCGGCCGCGTGCCACACTGGCCCCTAAGCCCTGACCCGTCACCCCCGGCCGACAGAGCGGCGAGACACCCCTGCACGTGGCGGCCCGGTATGGTCACACAGCTGTGGTCCAGCTGCTCTGCGAGGCGCACACCAACCTCGACATACAGGACGACGTGAGTTCTGTCGCACTCAGTATCTGTTTGAAATGGTGGATGGCACAGACGTATAATGGCTGTGCACCACTACACACATGACTGCAACTGCTGCAGCATTTATCTCATTTGCTGCGTTATTGTCTGTTGGCTTGTATGTTTTGAGATTGCTTGTATTTTAGTTGTTTTGGTTTGGTTCGTGTTTTTTTTTTTTTTTCAACGCTGCTTGCTGTTATAGCCATGTGTGTATTTGCCCCGCGTCCCGGTGAACGACTGAATCTTAAAGTGATGCTCACTTGGCAAAACAAACCCCCAAAAACTGCATTCAGAAACTGACCATGCTGTTTTGTGGTGCTCTTCTCGGCTGCCTTCGCCAAGGACTGGAGGCAGTCTTGCAGTTTGCTTAAATTGGCATTCGTGTTTCGCTTGCCCCATCACGGGTCAGCATTCAGGTCATGTACGAAGTAGATAAGCCGGACTTGGAACTGAGTAGTAGGCCTCTTTGCCTGAAGAGTTTTCGCGAGAGAGTGTCAACGGCAGCTTGATGCGCCCCAGTTTATCTTTACAATCCATAAAGTGAGTGGAGCAGTAAATACGGCGCAGAATCACGTAGGCGTGGAAGCGGTGCCCAGGCGTCACGCGTGAGGCCGCATCGCCTCCCAGAGCCCCTGGTGGCGGCCGCGTGTGTGGCTACTCCGCGTTCCAAAGCCGTTGACGGCGGCCGCGCGTGGCGCCCGAGCCGAGCGTGACGGGCGTCACGCCCTGCATGGTGCCCCGACGCGCGTGGGTGTGACGTGTGTGTGTGTGTGAGTACGCCTGCCTGACGGCGCAGCATGCGGAGACGGCGCTGCACATGGCCGTGTGGCATGGCTTCCCCGTCATCGCCAGCCTTCTCTGTCTGGCCGGAGCCAATCCCAACGTCGTCAACCACGTAAGTAACCGTCATCGGGCCGAGGAGTCCTGGGCGGCGACCTCGCGGCCACGGAACGTGAGGTCGCCGTCCGCCAGGGACTGCAGCGTACTTGCCCCGTTCCCGCCCAGTCATCGTTCTCTCTCTCCCTCTCTCTCCCACGACGTCGGAACTCGCTTAACGTTAACTCGCTCACTTAACCTTATCACTTAACGTTATATCATTCATCGACACATGGCCAGCTTGTGCGTGGTTCTGTCTGGTGATTTCATTATGGTTCGTTCGCAAATCAGGCGTAGTTGCCCTGCTATTTTTGCTGTCGGAGAAGGTCGGATGTTGCCTTGTAGAATATATTTGGGTCTGTAGCGTCATGCGAAGCATATAAAACTCTACATGATGTATGAAAACGCTGTTTTAGGGAGTCATTGCTTTGCAAACTCATTTTTAACGTAAGGCACATTTTGTCCTTGTCGGATACTGTCGGTTTAACGATTGCTTAAAAGCAAATGTGTTGGTGAGCTGCATTGTAATATAAATGTTAATGTGTGCACGCACGCTTGTGTGCATGTTAAAGGATCCTGCTGACCAGCTGATTACCTTCAGGAGCTCCCGTGACAGGCTGTGTGTTCTCAGGAGCCCCGGTGACAGGCTGTGTGTTCTCAGAAACCCCGGTGACCGGCTGTGTGCTCTCAGGAGCCTCGGTGACCGGCTGTGTGCTCTCAAGAGCCTCGGTGACCGGCTGTGTGCCCTCAGGAGCCTCGGTGACCGGCTGTGTGCCCTCAGGAGCCTCGGTGACCGGCTGTGTGCCCTCAGGAGCCCCGGTGACCGGCTGTGTGCCCTCAGGAGCCCCGGTGACCGGCTGTGTGCCCTCAGGAGCCCCGGTGACCGGCTGTGTGCCCTCAGGAGCCTCGGTGACCGGCTGTGTGCCCTCAGGAGCCTCGGTGACCGGCTGTGTGCCCTCAGGAGCCCCGGTGACCGGCTGTGTGCCCTCAGGAGCCCCGGTGACCGGCTGTGTGCCCTCAGGAGTCCCGCTGACCAGCTGATTGCCTTCAGGAGCTGGAGACACCGCTGCACTGCGCGGCGGCGCGCGGCCATCTGGAGGCCGTGCGCTGTTTACTAGACGCCGGCGCCACGCTGAACCTGGCCGACCGGCGCGGCGCCACCGCCCTCCACCTGGCGCTGCACCGGCGACACGTGCACGTGGCGCACCTGCTGCTCCAGGCCGGCGCCGACTGCGACCTAGCTGATCACGTGAGTACCACAGCTGGGGGTCGAGCTGGCGTCTCGTGACCAGCGATGCGGCTCGGGAGGACGGTGTTCGAGCTGGGGGTCGAGCTGGCGTCTCGTGACCAGCGATGCGGCTCGGGAGGACGGTGCTCGAGCTGGGGTCGAGCTGGCGTCTCTTGACCAGCGATGCGGCTCGGGAGGACGGTGTTTGAGCTGGGGGCCGAGTTGGCGTCTCGTGACCAGCGATGCGGCTCGGGAGGACGGTGTGATGTCGTGGGCGGGCGGGGAGCGATCAGGAGTGGGTCGAGAACCGAGCGTTGGTCCTGGATGAGTAAGTCCAGAATTGAGAGGACAACGTTACGAGCGAAACAGAAATGGTGTTCGGGGAGACTCCCAAACCTGTGACGGAAATGCACGTCTTCTTATGACGCTTCTTCATCTTGGATGTGCGCTGCCGAATGTATGGCTAAGACATTGTTGTCGCTTGATTGTTGGTAACGGCAGCATCAACATCCCCGATAATTCAAACAGCATGGCACGGCTTGGGCCGAGAAGCCGGTGCATGCTCAGTGTCATGCCGTCACTCTGCTGAGAGACTCCGGCCTGTGAGCGCGCCGTGCTGCGAGTGTGCCTCCGGCGCCGCCCCGCTGACCGGGCGGTGGCGTGTCGGCCAGGCGGGGGAGACGCCCATCCATCTGGCGGCCGCCGCCGGCCTGCTGACCCTGGCGCAGACGCTTTGCGCTTATGGCTGCGCAGTGGACGTCATCAACCGCGAGGGCCTGTACCCCATCCACCTGGCAGCCAAACACGGCCACACCGAGGTGGTCAGGTGAGAACCGAGAGCCGCTAGGGGTCGAGCGCGATGCCATCCATCCCTTGCAACCAGACGGCACAGGCAGAGTGTCGCCAATGGTATCAGTTGCTGAAGGCGCTGCGGAACGCTGCACCTGGAGCAAGTGTGTGTGTGTGTGTGTGTGTGTGTGTGTGTGTGTGTGTGTGTGTGTGTGTGTGTGTGTGTGTGTGTGTGTGTGTGTGTGGTGCGTGCGTGCGTGCGTGCGTGCGTGCGTGCGTGCGTGCGTGCGTGTGTGTGTGTGTGTGTGTGTGTGCGTGTGCGTGTGCGTGTGCGTGTGTGTGGGGGGGGGGGGGCCACCAGAGCGTCTTGAGCCGAGCCATGCCAAGCCAAGCCGAGCCGAGCCGAGCTGACCCGAGCGCGCGGCGCCGCCTGTGCGCGGTGCTGCTGCTCATGGTCCCGCTGTCCGGCAGGATATTGTGCCTAGCCGGCTGCACTATAGACCAGCGGAACCGGGACGGCATCAAGGCCGAGATCACGGCCATCAAGCGCGGCCACAATGACATCAGCTGTCTGCTCTCCCGACTCGGCAATGTGAGTCATCCCGCTCAAGCCCAGCAACATGAACACCGACCAATTCAGTAGCTGTGAAACTATAGCTGTTCTGACGAAGATTTCCGTTGACTTGATTTGCGTCCGGTGATAGGTTGCTTTGTGCACGGACGCACAAGCTGTTCCATTTTAGCCCAAGACGTGCCGTTGGCGTCTGCTGAAAGGTTTTAGGGGTTTCGATGATGACGGAGGCGACCGCCGGATGCTTTGCTGGTTGGTTAACTGAGGCGGCCGTCGAAGGCCCAACGCATGGTAAGGACTGCAGACACTGTTAAGACATGTTCCGCCCAAGTGTATCCTAGTGTTGGGATGCTTCAGCACAAAAGATCACTGAAATTGTCAATGCGCGGCCTGTACGATCTGATTTACCAGTAGTGTGCGTTTGTGAGCAGCAGAGTGCTACGGAAACGGGGCTCATATTATTAATATTGCGGCGTTATGTAACCCCGAAGGCCGAGCTTCGGGAGGAATACATCAATCAGCTGATACCGACTGCAAACCCGATCTCGCGAATAAAACTCAAGGTCTTCGGACACTCGGGCGTTGGGAAGACGTCCCTGATTGAGTCGATGAAGATGGGATATTTCTCCAGCTTCTTCAAGAGAAGCAAGAGTGGAAGCATCGGCAGCATTGGCAGTCAAAAATGTAAGAACAACAAAAACCTTACCACGTTTCGTTACCATGTTTCAAAAAGGTGAGTGTTGCCTGCTCTCACCTTAAAAACGTTAAGCTGTCTGAAATTTTATCTTGAATTACTCTAGATGTTTATTACACGCTCAGGCACTTCAGATATTATTTAGAAAGTCAAACCTGAAATACACAACAGATGTGCATGATCCCTCATCACCTACACGCGTTCCCAGGAACGCCCTACTGCCGTCATCCCTGCGACATTGTGATGATTGTTTGGCTGGCCGCGGCTCAAGAAAATCCTTCTTCGAATTCGTCTTTGGGCACCCATTATTTTGGGTTGTATCCGTCTTGAGGTCAGCCGATCCGTCAGGTCCTGTCTTTATGCTCCATTGGCCTGAGCGGCTCCTCGCTCGATACATGTCCCCAGAAACCCCTGGTCGGTCGATCACACCCAGCCGGGTCTCTCGTTCTAGCCACGCACAGCCCCAACAAGTCGCACATGGAGATGACGCCGACCCGGTGCAGAGACAGTTCGCTGTCGTTCGACACAGGCTACGACAACTACACCCGCGGCATCGACGTCAGCCAGGTGGGTGTGCCGGCGAACGGACGGCCGTCGACCGGCCACCGGCTGCTGGCCTGCTGTCGGAGCCCCGTGGCCTCATGGACGGACCCGCACAAACGACGGTTTGTAAGGCGGTGGCCCGACCTTCGGAGAGTACCATAGGTTCCCCATGGCAGCCGAAGGGGCAGCGTTCAACAGCCCTCATGATAGCTGCGTTAGCGATTGTGGTATTTGGTTTAGGTATCGTTGTGGTGTACGAATGGCGCGACTTTAATAGCTATTTTTAAGACCACCACAGCCGTTCTCGCCTGGGTAGCTATCTCGCAGAACTATGTGATGTGGTGCACTGACAAGAGAGCCGATTCCTAATTGCATACCATGTAAGCAGCACAGGGGCGTTGCATTGGCTCCGTTGTTTGATCCTGGATTCGGATGACGGCCCAGCTGGTCTTGTCAGTGTTCTAGCGGCCGGTCGATTGTTTGTCACCAGTCGACGCTGAGTGGAGTGGGGGAGGTGTCCGTGTGGGACTTCTCCGGCCACGACAGCTACTACATCTTCTACGACCACTTCATCGGCAATACCAACTGCGTCCACCTGGTGGTGTACCGGCTCAGCGACCCCCCAGCGGTGCAGATGCAGCAGGTCATCTTCTGGATGGGCTTCCTGCAGGCGCGCATCCCTCCCAAGGAACCGCTCGGTCAGTGGTGACATCAGAGCGGTCGCCTGTCAGTGGTGATGTTGGAGGGCTCTTCGGTCGGTAGTGACGTTAGGATGGTCCCGGTCACTGGTGACGTTAGAGGGTTCGCTGGACGATGGCGACGTCAGGGGGTCGCCGTCAGGCGATGGCGTTAGGGGGTCGCCGATCTGTGGTGACGTCAGGGTGGTCGCCGGTCATTGGTGACGTTAGAGGGTTCACCGGTCGATGGTGACGTCATGGGGTCGTCGGCCGGTCGGTGATGACATCAGGAGGATGCCAGTCAGTGATGTCAGGGGTTTCGTTGGTCAGTGAAGTCAGGGGGTCACTGGCATCGGTCAGTTCGTTCTTCAGCCACGCAGGCCGACCATCTCCCGGGTACGGTGAAATGTTATATAGTTGAATACTTAGTAACAGCGGCATGTGCCCACATTTTTAGGGGATATTCTGCACAAGGTTATGAATATTTGAAGGAGAAAGGCGGCAACATTTTCTGATATAGGTTAAAGTTCTTCTCCAAGTAGGTAAACTTGTTAGCAGATGCTTTCAAATATACAATCATAGAGAACTGTCGAATAGCCTAACCAAGAAAAACGTTGAACTTTTGAAAGATTAATGAGTGTAAACCGCTTTGAGGGGTTTCCAAAGGAACGACTTTGCATCCGTAACAGCCGCTTCCGCAGCGCAATATTCGCACATTGGTTTTTATCATGAAAACCGTTAGTCATTCTACGTGTGGGGGCTTTGCTTAACTAAGCGGTTTTGTGAGGATCGTGTTTGTGAAGTTCAGTAAGGGAGTTGTTCAAGTGAAAAGCTACGTTTTCGTGGAAAGAAGACATTTGATGTGCACTTATACCTGGTGATAACGAACAATTACTACTGGGGACTCAACGTACAATGGTCTCTGTCCCAACACAAAGGTCCTTTGAATGCCTTGAGCCGTTTGCCTTCCCTTTGTTCAAACTCATGAAGTTGTGCATCCACGTCTGATTCAGGCCACCCGTGCTTGTAAACTTGTCCTGAAGTATACGGGAAGGAGGCCCTCCGTTTATGCTACAGTGAAATGAAGCAAACTTTTGTGCGGAACGACGTGAACAAAACGTGTAAACCGCAAACATCCTGGACCGGTGCTGATTCTCTTAGATTATATAAACGTGGAGGGATTCTACTATGTCGCCTGTTTCGCCGACTGTCATGACTGACCTGACCTGACCTTACCTGATGTGACCCCAGGTCACTGCGGCCGGTCGAGCCGACCGGCGAAGGTGGCGCTGGTGGCCACTCACGCCGACCTCAGCCAGTGTCACAAGAACGGACACGGCGAGTATTCCTCGTCCGAGGTACGTGTGACGTCACGTCTCAGGTCACCTGGGTCGTGTACGGCCCTGTTATGCGTAGTGAGGCCTCAGTGTTTGAACAATGCACGAGGCCTGAGAACGATAAGCGTAGAGGCCTTAGAATTTGGGCCTGCGATCTCAGTATTTTGTCCGCGCCCACGTGTCCCTTTGCCATCTATCTATTCTCTCGAGGGTCAGGATGGGGGGGGGGGGGAGTAAGATGTAGGATGGCTGTAATTGGGAGTTGGCACGCCGCTGAGTTACCAAACACCAAAGTGCAGTTATAAAATGCGCCCGAGTGGCTGGCTGAATAGTCTTCGCTCGGGTAGGAGGTCAATTTGACTCCTTGAGAGCTCAAAAACTCACACAGCTAGAGACGGCAAACTCGCAGGGTAGATGGACTTGTATGAAGGCTCACTTTTGTCGAGATTTGAGTTTCCTAGATCATTAACTTTGGGTCAAATAAAGTCAAACATGCTCAAACTCCAGATTGGTGTCCAAATGCCCCCAGAAATTTTCATGCAACGACCGTGAAGTTAGGCACCTGTTCTAAACAAAAGGTCAATAAGGTGAGTGGCCTCTTTTGCCCTTTACGAGGTCTGTTTTGCCATTCGAAAAAGCGTCAGGGATTGCGCAAGGCGGCATTGTTCCTAAGAACAAGATGTTGACCGGGTCATCTTAGGTCAGTGATCTGCTCTGACCTTAAAAAAGTCCATGAGACATATCTGTTGTAGTTCCTGCTATTATTAAATTCGAGATGAGGACCACAAACTACTCACAGAACCAAGCTTTCGAGTAAAAACGCAGAATGGTTTTGATCTCGTTCTGACCTTCGTACCTGACCCTAGGCCAATGCGATTGGTTGTAATTCTAAATTCAATTGGTTTTATTATCTAAAAAACTATACCAGATATGTATGACTTCTTGTAACGCTTTGTAGTTGCATCATATTGAATGATCTCCTAGAAATGTCCTTCGTTGACAGCCATGACCTGACAGACCTGCTGTAGGTCAGCGACCTTACAAGGTATATCTTTTTTACAACAAAAGATCCGCTTCTCAATTCTTTACAGTTGTACAACGTTTAGCGCGGCTACGTCGCTCCGTTTGGAAGCAATTCTGGAAAAACCTTCGGGGGGTCGATTTGATGCTTACCCGAGCGCACGTTAAGTCGCCGCTCAAATGCAACGCGCACAGTTCCTAAGCCATTGGCCACCTATTGCCTACGCAATGATAATTGTCTCCGTTAGCTCGTTATACGTTACTACTCATTCGAGGTCCGGCCTAAAACTTTTGCTTCACATTTCCCTTAGTATACTCTGAATTGCTTCGTTTTTCGTTTGCATGTTCACAAACATCCTGAATCAGATGTTTTCCTCCATGACATAGCCATTCGATCAGCAAAGCTCTGCTTTTCTTTGCTGCCGATAGGTGAATCTCTTGATGAAGGAGGTCCAGGAGCGTTTCGGCCACGTCTTTGATTTGCACGAGACGACATTCGTTTTGGACGCCACGTCCGCCTCGTCGCCGGCGCTGAAGCACCTCAAGGGTTATCTGTCCGAGATGAAAGCGAAAGTGACGCAGGTGAGACCATGGCCGGAGTCGGTCGGCGTTGTCGGACCGTCGCCGACCGCGCTTATCCGCGTCAGCACCACCTCGTATCACAGTTAGCGCCGTAGTCAGCTAACGGCAGCGTCCGAGCATAGAGCTTTCGTCACCCCGACTCTCTTCTTACTTGCCCACCCCTTCCCCTTCCCGATCAGCATAGAGATCGGGAGTGTTTCCATACCATCCCCCCCTTCCTCCGCCTTTCACCGGCTAAAACACACCTGAAATCCTTTCCATGTGTAACCGTATATAGTTGGCAGTGCTTGCAACACGCTCTAACTGTGTAACACAGGCCTGGATCTCTCTGCAAGCCGTCGTGGGGGATCTCTGGTGCCTTCCTCACCCTCTGTTTCTCCGCCACCGACTCTACCCCGCTCCCTCTCTAACGCAGCTTCACACCGCTGGCGGCCGGCACCACTAACTGGGCGCCGGCTGCGCTTGCAGGGCGCTGTTGGTGTTGGTGTTGGTGATGCTGTGGGGCAGGGCGCTGGTGGCGGCGCCGGGCGGCATGGGTACAGGCGACTGATAGCTGACAATGCCTACCTCAAGGAAAGTGGCCTGGCTGGCTGACTGGCTGGCTGGCTGGCTGGCTTGGCTCGTCGCCGCGCCGTTCTTGCTCGACGCCTGCTCTGCACGTTGGCACCGCCCGCCGTCCCTTGAATGTGATGTTCTGCACGGCCACGCTGGCGCTCCGCTTCTCTGCCACCCAACAGACAGCGGGGCTCCGCTCCTCTGCCGCCCGACAGACAGCGGGGCTCCGCTCCTCTGCCACCCGACAGACAGCGGGGCTCCGCTCCTCTGCCGTCCGACAGACAGCGGGGCTCCGCTCCTCTGCCACCCGACAGACAGCGGAGCTCCGCTCCTCTGCCACCCGACAGACAGCGGGGCTCCGCTCCTCTACCACCCGACAGACAGCGGAGCTCCGCTCCTTTGCCACCCGACAGACAGCGGGGCTCCGCTTCTCTGCCACCCAACAGACAGCGGGGCTCCGCTCCTCTGCCACCCGACAGACAGCGGGGCTCCGCTCCTCTACCACCCGACAGACAGCGGAGCTCCGCTCCTTTGCCACCCGACAGACAGCGGGGCTCCGCTTCTCTACCGTCGGACAGACACTGACGCTCCGCTCCTCTACCGTCCGACAGACACTGGCGCCTTCGCTGTGCTCACTTTCAGGTGGTCATGATCTCTTTCACCGTGTTTTTGGATTCCACCTGTTCACCGCTGGATCCAGAGACACTCAGAGGGTTGGGTGGTTTCGGCCTCTCTTGGTCCCATTGTTTTCACATCCTTTGCTGGCTCCGCCCGGTCCCAGCCGTGTCCGTTTTCTGGGCCTGCTGACCCTGTTAGGAGGGGTGCTGGTGCTGCTGTGCCGCCTCGCCGCCGGCTCTGTCCGGCTGTTTCTTGCACACTATCCGGATCTGACAGCTCGCCGATGGCACAGATGTTGTGATTGCACCTCTGAGTGTGAGCCCACGGCACCAACCTCTGAGTGAGAGCCCACATCACCGACCTCTGAGTGTGACCCCACGCCACTGAGGCTTGCCTGACAGAGCGCATCTGTCTGCGTCAGGCCTTGCTCACCAACATCAGTCAGCCCACATGGCACGGCCCCCTCACTGTCCGGTGGCACATGTCTGTCGTATCTGCTGCCGTTTTTGACAAGGTCTATTCACTGTCTTGTGCACATGTTCGGCACATGTTTGTGCTTTTTTCATCTGACGCATGTCACTGCAAGCTTACAGTTATCTGTTAGTAATCCTTTATGACCACATGATCAAAATGTAATCGACGGTGGCTAAAATCATGTCTTTACTTACACCACTTTTTCTACCTTGATTTCGCTTGTGTCTGCATATATATATATATATATATATATGTGTGTGTGTGTATGTGTGTGTGTGTGTGTATGTGTGTGTGTGTGTGTGTGTGTGTGTGTGTGTGTGTGTGTGTGTGTGGTGTGTGTGTGTGTGTGTGTGTGTATGTGTGTGTGTGTGTGTGTGTGTGTGTGGCGTGTGTGCGTGCACGTACGTGCGTGTGTGCATGCGTGTGCGTGTGTGTGTGCGCTTTAATGCGATTTTTGTTCCCCCGACCAGAATATGTCTCAGTTGTAAAAGACCTATATGTCCCTGGACCCCAGGGGAATCCAGGATGTCAGGCACATGTTTTGTAATAGCTATAGCTGCACTTAGTCGTTCTTAAATCAAACGCCAAAGTGTCCGTTCAAAGAATTCGATAGGCAGATACGTGTCAGAGGCTCAGGCTTGAAAAGCTCGAAGTCTTATATTTTTCCTGAATTACCCTAAAGCTCAAGTGAATATTGTTACTAGTTTTTCCGTGTTCTTTGGGCATAGTCGTTGACAAAAGCCCATGTCTTTTGTCCGGTCGCCTTTAGTTTTGTCAGGTCTGAGTTTAAATTTCTTGGCCATTGCCCACGTCCTTATACCATTGCCCGCCGAGTGGCAGATATGGTCGAGGCAGATGCAATAAAAACAAGCGTACACTGCTACGTATTCATGCATCAGGTCGTCCCGGACCATGACAAGCTTGTCATGGACTGGAATCCCCATCCAGCCCCCCGGGGAAGCAGGAGCGGGCACTGTCACGAGACAGGCCGGTGGTTTGTGAGGTGTTTTTGTTTGCTTGCTTGTTACAAGCTGTTTGGTGTGTTATTTAGCACCGGCAAGCATGGGCTTGTTGGTTGTAAATGCGTTCCAGAGGTGTGACCCCCCTCATACCAGAACCTCGTGCACTACAACATTTTAGTGAGCATTCTGTAAAAAGTGAGTCGCAAATCCCATCGGTGGGCTGTGGTATCACGCCTGTCCACACGGTCTGCCATCGGTGGGCCGTGGTATCACGCCTGTCCACGTGGTCTGCCATCGGTGGGCCGTGGTATCACGCCTGTCCACGTGGTCTGCCATCGGTGGGCCGTGGTAGCACGCCTGTCCACGTGGTCTGCCATCGGTGGGCTGCGGTATCACGCCTGTCCACGTGGTCTGCCATCGGTGGGCCGTGGTATCACGCCTGTCCGCGTGGTCTGCCACCGGTGGGCCGTGGTATCACGCCTGTCCACGTGGTCTGCCATCGGTGGGCCGTGGTATCACGCCTGTCCACGTGGTCTGCCATCGGTGGGCTGCGGTATCACGCCTGCGTCCCGCGCCGGTGGGTGCCACCGTAACGCTCCGACACCCATTAGGGCCTGCCCAAGTCCACCGGCTTCCTGGAGGCGGTGGTGGCGCAGCTGGGAGGCTGGCGGCGGCTACAGCCCAGCTTTCCGATCCTGACCTGGCCGGACCTGGTAGACATCGTGCGCGTCCAGGTCAACCCGCTGGTCGGCGAGGAGCATGTGCAGGAGGTTGTGCAGCAGCTGCAGCTCATGGGAGAGGTGAGTGGGCTGGCTCGGCGGGGCCGTCACTGAGCTCCGATACGCGCTGCTGAGTCGCTGTCGACTCGGGTCGCTTTGGCCTCTATGTGGAGATTCGAGCCGACTTGACCATGTCATCTATGGACAGTGCCACACAGTGGACCATATCACCTGTGGACAGTGCCACACAGTGTACCATATCACCTATGGACAGTGCCGCACAGTGGACCATATCACCTATGGACAGTGCCACACAGCGGACCATATCACCTATGGACAGTGCCACAGTGCTGTGATGGAATCGCAATTTACTCTGTGAATGATGTGCTTAAAATCCGTGCGTAGGGTTAGATCTATAGAAAGTGTTAAATCCATGCGAGTCACTGCCGGTGTGGCTGGAGTGAGGCGTTTATTGTGAAACACTTTCTAGTAGCGTGTTCGCTGCCTGTGCGAACATGGCCGTCCGTGCCGTCCACGGGTGTCCGAGCTGACGGTGGTGAGCTCCCAAGCTCACCGGAGCCGGCGGCGCCCGAGACCGGACCCGTCTGTCCGGACCCGTGAGGCCGGGCCCGCCTCCGGTAGCCGGACTCCGCCGCCTCACCGGGCCCGCCTGTTAACAGGTGGTGTACCTGAAGCCGACCAATGGCGAGCAGGACATCCTGGTGCTCTCTCCGCGCTGGCTCACCTCCGATATCCTCGGCCACATGCTGTCCGGCGAGTTCATCCAGAAGGCCAAGGCCACGGGTGAGTCAGTGCTGAGAGCTCGACCCGGCAGCGACCCGTCGCAGGGTGGCGGCCCGGCAGCGAGCCCGTCATAGGGTGGCAGCCCGGCAGCGAGTCCGTCACAGGGTGGCGGCCCGCCAGCGACTCGTCACAGGGTGGCGGCCCGCCAGCGACTCGTCACAGGGTGGCGGCTTGGCAGCGAGCCCGTCACAGGGTGGCGGCTTGGCAACGAGTCCGTCACAGGGTGGCGGCCCGGCAGCGAGCCCATCACAGGGTGGCGG